AGTATTTAGTCCTTTCTTTTAAAGGTCTTTTTACCATTAGTAGTTAGTCCTTTCTTTTAACGGTCTTTTTACAATTAGTAGTTAGTCCTTTCTTTTAAAGGTCTTTTTACAATTAGTAGTTAGTCCTTTTTTTCAACGGTCTTTTTACAATTAGTATTTAGTCCTTTCTTTTAAAGGTCTTTTTACAATTAGTAGTTAGTCCTTTTTTTCAACGGTCTTTTTACAATTAGTAGTTAGTCCTTTCTTTCAACGGTCTTTTTACAATTAGTATTTAGTCCTTTTTCTTTTAAGTAGGTCTTTTACCATTAGTAGTTAGTCCTTCCTTTCAACGGTCTTTTTACAATTAGTAGTTAGTCCTTTCTTTTAACGGTCTTTTTACAATTAGTAGTTAGTCCTTTCTTTCAACGGTCTTTTTACAATTAGTAGTTAGTCCTTTCTTTCAACGGTTTTTTTACAATTAGTAGTTAGTCCTTTCTTTCCACGGTCATTTTACAATTAGTATTTAGTACTTTGTTTCAACGGTCTTTTTACAATTAGTAGTTAGTCCTTTCTTTTCGCTTTCCTTTACTACCTTGTCTAGGAGTTTCTTGTAATTTTCTTACTCTATCTGGAATCAACACTGTAATTTGTGTATCTTATATTTTGAAGATTATGTCTGACAGTAATAAATCCTGGTAGGGCTTCTAGTTCTCTAAATGCTTCGTTGTATGCTGATGCACCATTTTCTTACGTCCTTTCCAATTCTTTCTATACTTTCTCAGTTTATTTTCTATTACACAAGTCTTAAAACCTAAAGGCGTTCATGTCCAGGTTCCAACATGCTTTCTGATCTATGTTTGAGTATTCCCAAGAAACTTTGTATCTCTCTACTCTCTATATTTACAAATCCCCTATCTTCAGTATTGAGCACTCTTCTGACAAGTTAACGAAATTGGTTTATAAAGTAGGCAACAGCAACACTGAAGATTCAGACAAAAACAATAATATCAACATTTTTTTAAAACCAAATGCATGTTAACTAGGATGAATTTTCCCTTAGAAATATTGTAAAGAAATACACAAACCCAGTCAACCAGTAAAAGAAAATTAAATTATGTATTATAAAAAAAAAAATTAAAACAGTTAACCTCATCGTTACCAACAACAGTTCACTGGCAAGATACAACTTACAGAGGAGCAATATCATGAATTTACATCTCTTTTAAGGGACTGTGTTCCTGATCAAACCAAATTCATGAATAGTTATATTGGATGTAACACTACATGCTTATCAAGAAGACTTACTTTACATCTATCAGAGTGTAGTTCAAATAGGATCCATTTAGACACATGCAAACCAACCAAACTCTATCCGTAACTTACTTGTAGAAAATACGGCCTTAGTAACCTCATCCACATGTAAAAAACGGCAAAAAATAATAAAAGCATTAGTAATAAATAAAAGCCAAAATACAATAATATCAGCTATGGACGCGGCAACAACGTACTGATCGTGAATAAAAAAAACAACAAAAAAAAAAAACAATTCCCATCACTATAGATAAACATATATGAAAAAATATATACAGTGTAACCCGGATATAAGAGACCCGGATATAAGAGAAACCCGGATATAAGAGAGATTTTCTCTGGTCCCAAAGTGTTCCCATACTTACCTAAACAAAATAGACCAAACCCTGATATAAGAGAAACCCGGATATAAGAGACTTCTCCTCCGGTCCCGACAACTCTCTTATATCCGGGTTACACTGTATTCAGTTTAAAAGTTAAAAAATATATCTTGATATTGGCTAATAGAATAGCCGAAAAGCGCTCGGATGTATAAACAGTTTTTTAACGATTTTAAAAATGTTAGTCTAACTAAAAGAGAAAAAAATGCTAACACGAAACTGTTTAGAAAATGCTTTAAGAGCTAGATTATCCACAGTGAATTTTCGTCCATGTTCTCACGTTTCACTATTCTTGGCAGAACTTGTATTATTACAAGATGGTAGATTTAATAATGAAAGTAATACAGTGTGACCCGGATGTAAGAGAAACCCGGATATAAGAGAGATTTCCTCTGGTCCCAAATTAGAGCCTGTGTTAATGTATATAAAATAGACCAAACCCGGATATAAGAGACTTCTTCTCCGGTCCCGACAACTCTCTTATATCCGGGTTACAATGTACAAATAATTTTCCAATTTGTTATACTGCTTTCCTTTCAGTTGTTCTGAATCTCCCTCTCTCTCTCTCTCTCTAACACACACATTATATATATATATATATATATATATGTATGTGTGTGTGTGTATGCGTGCGTGTGTGTGTGAGACTAAATAATATTTGAATGCCCCTTTTGAAAAAATCGTAATTGAAATTTATATAAAAATAAAAATTAAATAAAAATAAAAATGCCAAATGTATTGCTACTGAAGCCCAGACGATATGTTCGAACATAGACACTACCACAAATTTCTACTTGAAAAAAGTTCGTGTCAAGAGACAGATACTCCAGCCCCCACCTTGACTTGCCCGACTTGATAGCTACACTACATTAGATACATGAGTTTTCTAAATAAGTTAAATCTTAACACCCCTAAAAAAAAAAAAAAAAGATGGAACTTTCCTTAACCCCAACATCTCAAAATATCAAATTTGTCTGGACTTATAAATAAAGTAAATCAATTTCTAAAAAGTTATTCTTAGCATCGCTTGATAATAGAATGGAACTTTGTATTTTAAGTTTTTTACGGTTGAATTTGAATTGAAGTTTCAGGACTCTGCACCATGCCACACAAACAGGCGAACCCAGTCATGGCTGTCAGACAATTTCTGCGACCACATAACCCCTTAATTTTTGAGCACCAAACTCCCCAGACTATAACTCCCTTGATTATTATGTAAAAAAACCAACAAAACTCCTTGTAACTGAAAGATGAACTGAAAGCAAGGATTATGGCATCATTCACCAACTTAAACAAGGAAACCAGAAAAGTTGCAGTCGTCTGGAGGCCGTGGTTGAAACCAATGGCGATTTTATTGAATAAATTTACTCTTTAGTATTTTAAGATATTTTTTATGTAATTTTGTTAAATATTTCTGTTAAAATGAGATATCAGTGTTATTTGCATTTGTGAGTAATTTATACGATAAATTTATCTATCGCACCCTCTGTATGTATGTTGTGACAATATTTCGCGGCACGCTTAAGAGGATTGCGCGTTACATTAGTATGCCACAGCACAGCGGTTGAGAATCACTGCTCCTGATGGATCTCAATATACAATTTTATAGCGAGGTTTATGCATACTTGACAACTTCCAGCTCTTTGCGACTAATATTCGCAAAGTAGTTGACCTAGTAGCATAAACTGCAACGATAGTTGGAGTTCATGATCTTTTCTGTCAGCTGCACAGCCTGAATTACGATCGACAGTTCCTATTTCAGTTTTCCAACTGAATTCTAATTTTGTGCCAAACCTCATTACACAGTCTGCAATAATTTAAAATTACACACCACTGCAAGTACAATCGTAAATTTTTCAATGGTTTTATCACAAGCTAATAGTGTCCTTCAGTCATAATTTATCGTCAAGCCATATTTAAAACAGCCTCGATGCACCTAAAAACTGATCAAGCATAATAACTTGTGAGCGGAAGTATTCACTGCTTTCACGTTGAGATGCCGGTTGCTCAGAACGGTGGACTTTATAATATTTAATGGACAATCCAGAAAGAATTCATTTACGATTTATAGTCAAATAAAATATATTTCTATACGCGGGAGGTCCAGTATCATACTGACTCGTTGAAATGATTATATTTCATTCAAGCTACATCAATTCGTTCCACGATTTGTACGGACTGTTACATTTATTTTTAGTGTTTTTATAGCACGTTGTCGCATAGGGAAAGAGAGTTTACTTTTATTTTTACTGAAATTAATGGCGAACAAAAAATGGAGGCTAATATTGTGCTCTGAAGAAAGAACATTCTCTCGGAGAATGTTGTAGAATAAATACGCCGACAAGTTCCACTTCCCTATAGAGGAAACGTCACATGCTTCTCGCTTATATAACGCTATTCCCACGGTAAATATTATGATGAGTTTCATCCCTTACTTCTACCAATTCTAACCTTCACACCTAAGACCCGCCATGCCAACTACAGAGGGTCGAACCATTCCCATTCCCTTTGTATTCAATTAGTAAGAAGTAAGTTCCACTGGGTCAGTTTCTTCTCACAGACCGTTATTTTGTGGGGCCGATTCTCAAGTGGATGTTTTCCCGACAACTAAAATCTTAAACTCTTCAAGGCTAATGTTATCCATTATTTTCCCCACATATCCCCATAAACTGCCCTTCTTACTTCATATTCAAACCGCTCATACAACAACCTCCTTCAGTAACCCTCTACTTTGAGTGGCTCTTTAGCCTTGTATAGGGTGAACATTTTAAAAAAAGAACAGCAAAAAAAAAACAAACAAACAAAAAGAAACATCGTTACAGTAACAAAAACAAGAAAATGGATTAGCTCATTTGTTGGATTTTTGAAATAATAATTTTTTTGTTTAGTTGCATATCAATTTGTATGGATTAAATATAATGCCGTAATCTAAATATTTTGAACGCAATTTTAGTTTATTACTATTTTTGAAATAATAATTGTTTTAGCGATACAAGCCTTACTAAATAAGGCATAGCTAATAAATTCTAGACAATCTCTTCAAGGCGGAAGAGGAGAACTGAGGCAACAGAGATTTGGTTCTACAGAAGGATACCGTATGACTGATTCGTTTTTTACGGTTTATCAACAATTTACAGCCAGAAATATTTCTAGATAATAATGATTTAGTGAAACAATTACCATTAAATAACCCGCAGCTGGTGGAAAGAAGAGGTGGATTCATACATTTCACAAGGGTATTTGAACGTAAGTGAATATAAAGAAAATAACTGACATCGGAATTAACAACGCCGAGTCATTATCCACTACACCATCCGCACATCCAAGTTTACACCTAGTATTTCCATGCGGTCACTCATCTAAGTACTGACCAGGCTTGATGCTAGTTAACTTCGGTGATCGTACGGGAACCTGCATTTCACCGCTATATAGTTCTAATACCGTCAATGCCATGAACTGAACATGTGAGTAACGAGGAATTTTTCCGGAAAATTGAAGCCAAATGATACTTGTTCTTAGAATCAAAAAGTGACTGTTGAAGTTTTTGGGGTCACATAATGAGAAAATTGGACTTGGAGAATTTGACACACACGTGACATTAATTTGTGCATAAGTGAGTATAAAAGAAGCCTAACAGGATTTGAAACCTGGCTCTCCGATTAACAATTCTGGCGCATTATCCATTACACAACCCGCATATCCAAGCTTACAGCACCTGGTATTTTGAATAAGTCACCCATCTAGGTACTGACCAGGCTCTACGTTTCTTAACGTTGGTGATCGCACGGGATGCAGCTGCAAGCCTGGGATGATAATGCCACCTTTCCAATTAATATCAATATGTCGCAATTTTTATCAAAGAAAAAAGGTCCAGAATAAGATAAGGGTAACAAATTATGACATTTACAGAAAGAATACTGCTCAGCATCATTTATGTGCTGTTTCAATGTAGCACGAGGGTGATTATGTCCCTCCACAGCCTCTTTTTCGTTGTGGATGTAATCAACGTTTGCTATCCTCCTAAATCTTTCTCTAATAACCATTAACAAAAACTAATTTGGTAAGTTGCCTAATGTTTCCCTGTACGGGTCTTTTTCTCACTACGTCTTGTGAGTATTAGGCTTTCCAAGCCCTTCTTCCTTATAATGTGTCCGAGAAATTACAACTATTCCTGACTTTAACCCTTTGATCCCTGACCACCAATTTACAGGTGGTAGAGAAAAATGACTTAATGCCCAGCCACCGGTTGAATGGTGGTTACCCACCATTCAACGTTTGCGTCGTGTTTTGTCTTAGACTGAGATACAAAGAAAGAATTCTGACGATAAAGTGAAGGCATGCAATCATACTCGCTCCCTACTAAGTACGATGCTTAGATTTTTGTAACTATTTTTATATCTACTGTGAAACATTACATACTAAAAGCAATACGTGTCCAACTTCTCTCTGTGATAAGGTTTGTAATACTACGGAGTAAATTCTCCCTTTTAAAACAATTGTCACCTAAAAATGCACACAGCAATACACAATAAAAATATAAATAAATTGTATGAAATTAACATCCAATTGACCATGCTTTTTTTTTTTATTTGTGTCCGTTTTATTTCCTGTCAAGTATGCTTTTTTTATTATGAATATGAGACTAATTTCTGCTGCTATGTGAGTGACGACCCTACATAGCAGACAGCGTTCTGGTTTATACTAAAATCAAGATATATGGTTGAAAGTAAATTTAAGTTGTAGAAACAGGTTTGAATTTGACTAAAGTCAAAAAGTTAAACATTTTTCTGGTTTAAACTCGAGTGAAAAGTTCAGCTATTGTTGCGATTCAGGTTTACACTCGAATCGACAAGATTTCACACAGAAGGTGTCTTTTTTCTTTTTTGGAAGGTGTCTTTCCCATTTACGGATAACGGATAAGTGAAATGCTGGAAATGTTCTCATTGAATATATATACTGAGTTTTGGAACTCCTAGATAAATATTCAAAATGATATAATGTATATCGACAAATACTAGTTCAACATATAGCAGCAAAAGGTGGGCACTAAAGACATTTATATAACCGTTTAAGAATTGTCATGCGGGACTAACGTCTAGAGTATTAAAGCATTGGTTGGAGAATTCGGTGACAGTAACAGTCAGTTCAAAGTATTTCGTAAGGCTCACCTTTCTTACACAGCGTTTGTTGTTGCATATGTTATAATTTCTCTGTGTGGGGCACGAGTATATATGTGTATATATATAGAACTTTAAGACATATCTCATTCAATAATTTAATTTATAAGTTTTGTCTACTTATTTCTAATATCTTTCTTTCATTATTACGGACAAGTTTCGTAGTATCCTTATTAAAGGAAGAAAGAAAGTTACCATATTAAGAAACCAAACTTTTATACATGGCTAGAGGAACAATTTACCATTCTAGATTAAATAATATCTTCACTGTAAAATTCTTAGTAGGTAACCCGATTAAGAGCGCAACGTTGTAATAACAACAACAAAGATGAGGATAATAGTCAGTGTATAAAAACCAAAAAAGAAATCACAGTTTGATTTCTTTCTGTACGCACGACAGGAAATGAAAATTTGTCTTAACGGTAACATAAATGAAAGAGAAGAAAAACAGACCTAAATTTAAGAAGTTTAGCGAGTTACAAAGAGTTGGAAATCTGACGAAAAACATGAGTGTTTGGTTGACATTCGACAGACAACATTGGCGCGAAATAGACGTCAAAGTCATTTATTATGACTCCAAGAAAGAAACCCGCTGTCAAAAATAATTGTAAGCAGTCTCTGAGATAAAGCATAATTTTGCAGCCATATCTACAGTTAAGTTTTCGTCTCAAGTGAGAAGACCATTCCCTAGACATATTTTTGCTGTTACGACCTTTGCGCCATAAAGATGTTTTTCCCATCCTAAGCGTAACAGTACTGGCCATCCATAATTTTTTCTCGTCTTTGAAGTTTGGTTATGAGGTCAAAAACGATATATCGCTGGACCACAAAACACAATCATGACATTTTATTTTAAAATCTCACATTGGTTTTTAAAACGTAACAGAAAAAAAACCTTTCTAAAAATTTAGGAGACGATATCTAATGTAACCAAACGAAAAGAGAATAGTAAACAAATAAAGAAAGAACTTACTATAATTGTCATCATTAGCCATTGTTCCATGGTAAAACGGTCTAATATTTAACGAATCTAGGCTTCAATAAAGTCAAGAAAATAGTTAGGGAACAAGTCTAGAGGATAAGACAACTAAAAGAATCAGTGCATATGTTAACAACCTTCTCAGTGTAGCGGTTGCATGATACTAACACAGGATATTTTTGCACTACTGACTGGAAATGATTAAATTAATACGGCACTTTTAAGATACATTGCATGCGTATTTTTTTGTATACTTTAGTTTATGTAAAGTATGTTCTCACATTTCTATTATATCAACAATAAGCAGAATAAAAGTAACTGCTTGTGACAGGTTCTAGAACCTGTCTAGGGAGGAGACACCTGTAGAGATACAAACGGCGATTCTCTCACTTTCTTTGAGTTAGTCACTGGGTCACGTGACGGTCAGTAAATGACGTCAAGTGACGAAGAGCAGTTGCGATGCAGAGCCCAGAGTAAAAGGACGTCCGTAGCCCACAGCCGTAAGTCTCACAGGAAAAAAAAAAAAAAAAACACAAACAGGCCTAACCACGTTCATAGAGAAACTGCTGTAACTCCAGTTTTTCCTTCGGGAAATATTTCAAGTAAGGTTCCCCTTTCTAACACACCGATTGTTGTTCCATATATGTTATAAATTCTCTGCTTGGGACACGAGTATATGTTTGTGTATATATGTAGAACTTTAAGACATGTCTCATTAAATAATTTAGACAAGTTTTGTCTATTTATTTTTAATATGTTTCTTTCCTAATTACGGACGTTTCTTAGTATCCTTATTAAAGGACGAAAGAGAATTACCATATTGATGCATATTCATTTTATTCCGAGTATTTTCGACATTAGCACATTGTCATCATCAGGGTCTTGTTTTTTCTAAGACAAAAATTGTTGTAATCATCATTTTTCTAAGACAAAATTTTTGTGTTCATTTGAAAGTTAAATTTTTACGTGTGAAGTGAAAAACAGTAGTTATGTACAGTATAGTTTTTAAATTTTATCATGTAGACAAACATGCAAACACCAAGGGAAGTAACTAAGTCATTGAAATCTTTTTAAAGAAAAACTATAAACCAATCCTTAGTAAAATTAATCATGAACACTGCCCAAATGTCTGAAATGTAGATAGTTTAAAATATCTAGGTTTTAAGTAATAGTTTTAAATAGATTTTGCTTAGAAAAAACAAGACCCTGAAAAATTACGTCAATTACTTTATGATTTTATTTTTCAGTTGACCATATAGATATATAATAGCGTTTCTAAATTCTTCTAGTTGCTAAAGATATTTTGTTTGTTGTTTATTTGTTATAATATTGTTACACTAATATTCCATGGTCATAATTTATTCCATTGGAATCGTAAATACGATCCAATTCATCAGACATACAAATTCAAAAATAAAACAGAAAAAACAATTCCGGAAATAAAAAATAGAATTTAGAGAGAGTGTAAGTATGAGAGTGTGGGACGAATGTTAGAGCAATAGAGAGGGGTAACAGACGAGAGAAGGTGGGGGATTAAAATTTAACAGAAAGAAGTTTTAGAGAGGGGAGTCAAAGACGGCTCAAGTGAGAGAAATATGAATGTATATATCAGAATTACCCTGTAGAAAAAGGCAATATGTATAAAGGAAAAAAGACAATAGGAAAAGCAGAAAACGAAATGAATTATCAAATTATAGCAAACATATATATATATATATATATATATATATATATATATATATATATATATATATATACGCAGCTTGTTGCGCGGAGAAGAGATGGGTTCTTGCCTTTACCATGGGTATTTGCTTGATGAACGGCATAAACTAGTCTCGAATTGAATTCGTGCTGATCCCTTTTAAGCGTTGATAACCGTTACACTACTCGCTCATTCTCGCTGTTATTATTCTCATTAATATTATTGCCGTAATTATTATGATTATTACTGTCATTACGATTCAACTAGGCGTTTTTCCAATCCCGAAAGAATTCGTTGGCAAGAAAAGTTACTGAACGAGAAGAGAGCCTTTTCGTAAAATTGCAGCGCAGTCACCAGGGGGCAACACTGAAGCGAATGGCGGCAAGCCAGTGCATCGGCGCATGCGTATTTGAAGTTACATCCGCTTGTTACTTCTTGGCATGTTATGAATTGTACTGCTACTATTTTCTTTCTGTCTGTCCGTGTTTTTGCTTTTCTTATGTTGACTAAGGAATAAGAGAAAAAAATATATTGGTTTTAGTTTTTTTCTTCTATGAAATGGAAAATGCCGTTCAATAGCAGAGTCAGAATTCGAGAATTGGAAAAAAAAAGGATTGAACCGATTCTCACAGAAGGATGTTAGAGAAAAAAGACAAGCCTGTTGTTGCTGGCAGGAATACTGACGAATGGAAAAATATGTTTGGCAATTTTCATCTTGGTTGGGCAAGGCGTCTGCTTTATCCGATCAAAACAATTTACAAGATCTATCTATCTATCTATCTATCTATCTATCTATCTATCTATCTATCTATCTATTTGCATATGTATTCATTAGTACAAATTCTAAGAAAATATAACCATATTGAAAAATAATCCGCTAAATCATTAAAAGCAATAAAAATTGCTAATATTCTTTCATTGCGATACTTATATCAATACACACCTGGACCACTAAGATAACAGACACTACTACTACTACTACTACTACTACTAATTATAATAATAATAAAAAAGAAACTGTAAAGATAAAAAAAAATAGGATATAGGTAGTGAGTTGACGAATCTACAGAACATGACCGAGTAATGGGTGCTTTTGAAACACAACCCATAAAATTAAAAGATCGTTTATTAAAAATTGGAAGATAGGAGAGCTCCAGAGTTCAATGGTTTCTGTTTTATCTGTGAGTATTCTCCAAAATGTTTTGACTTGTATAGTGTTTTATTGACTGCATGCTTCAAGAACGGAATTTCCATTGACTACCTCTACATGCGACACAATAATGATAATAATAATAATAATAATAATAATGGCTAGTCATTTCCAGTATAATCTTCTGCTATCACAACCATATATTACGGCTGCAATACATGTTTTATCCCTACAACTCAAATGGGCTAAGGGATCTGGATATTTAATAACTGAAAGTTAAACGATATATATATATATATATATATATATATATATATATATATATTGCATAGGAAAGTCGCATAGTAGCTTTAAACACAGATCTTTCTCTGACTCGAAATAGACATACAGTAATTCCCCATATATAATACACATTTTTTCTAAAAAATAATAAGCAAAATCAGGGGTGCGTATTATGCACGACTTCAAAAAATCTGTAAAAAATAAAATAGGAATTATCATAAAACTAAATTAGAATAATATTATTCTATTTTTAAAACCATTTTCTAAAAATAAGAGTAGGAAACGCTGGCTGTAATGAAATTGGGGAGGTACAATTTATAGGGTTTGATTACCAAACAAGTGGTGCGTAGTATGCTTGAGGTGAGGAATTTTATCACACTTTCAGCACAATTTTAGGTGTGCGTATTATGGATGAAGGTGTATTATACATGGGGAATTGCGGTATTTGCTCAGTTTCCTATCCTAACTTAAACAAAACTACTTCTTAGGAAAGCGGTGGAGTTTTTATTTGTTAATCCGACAGATTTTATTACTTAAACATTATTTTTTTAGTGGATAAACGTATTAAAGAAGACACTGTTTATTTATTAAACAGTATATAAATATATATCTAAATAAATAAAGTTCACTCTGCTAACGAAGCGGCCATGTATACACTGAAACAGCAACAACAAAACTCGCGTGATCAAGCTCATATATACATTGGGTGGAAACAAATATTCGTACACGTACAAATTTTTAATTTATTGTATTTCCAATGAATAAATATAATTTTCATATAATTAACTGTACACAGATGCATAATAACTAAGTATGCATAGAAAACAGAAAAAAATTGATTTAATAGAAATAAATCCCATTTATCCATTTTAATGGGTAAAAAAGTATTCGTACAATACAAAAAAGAATACATAATATTCATATTATTATACTCGGAAAGGAGCAGACATTATTATTATTATTATTATTATTATTATTATAACTATTATGGTGTCGTATGTTGTCAATGGAAATTCTCATATTGAGGCATGGAGTCAACAAAACTCGCCGAAAGCGTAAGAATTTTTCGGATAATCTTCACAGAATAAAGAATAGCAGTTTTGAAGGTCTACAATCTTAATCGCAATTCCAATTTTCCCAAGAAGCATCGAAATTTATGTTTAAAGAAATACACATCTAGGCAGATATCGAAACTGCGTTTCATTTCAACTTTAGAGACACCCCCACCATGCAGCCCCGGGAAATATTACAAAGGACCCTTCCTGGTATCTCGAAGATCAGCTTGAGGACATGATAACTTTATTTGATATTTTTGGTTAGAGATGCTGAGACAAGAAAAGCTAGTATTTATACGCAAATAAATGCTCGAAAAACACGTATATATATATATATATATATATATATATATATATATATATATATATATATATATATATATATTTGGTTGGATTGATGTGAGTTTGTGACCCTGGGTTTCAAGCTTTTATGATCGTCAGAGCGAACCATCTCTGATATTGAGCGCTTTTAATAAGTACATGCATATAATATATAAATAATTATATATATATATATATTTATGTATATTTATATACACACACTTTACACACACACACACACACACACACACACACATATATATATATATATATATATATATATATATATATACGATGTCAGGACTCACACATGATTAAGTACACATTTGATTTGATTCTATTATAGTGATGAAACCTTGTGTAGAGCTAGCCACACTTCTCAGATCAATTGATAACAGAGATGTGGTGGACAAAATCTCCCAACAGAAATCGTCAGGTTCGAATTCATAGGATGTGTGGGTGGTGCAATGTATTGTCGCTTGCAATGCGAAAACTGAGAGCCGAGTTCGAATTCCAGACGGGTTTGTTACATTCATTTATGCGCAGATAGTAGAACTTATGTCTGGAAAAATAGTTATTACTTTTTAAAAATTGTTAATATAATATTCTCTTGCAATGAAAGAATTAATCTGATAATCTGAAATAAGCAGAAAAGAAAATTCAGATTTCCTTCGGCTAGACTGGTTGCCAACCTACGCAAAAGAGCACAGTCTATGTTGCTATTTATACCGATCCCAAATGTGTGTTATATATATATATATATATATATATATATATATATATATATATATATATATATATATATATATACTACTAGTAGAGCCCGGCGTTGCCCGGGGATGTAACAGTAAGAGATAGATCAAGTATCGACCATCATAAAGACTGAAAAATAAAATTGACAAAGATTATTGTTTAAGGTTGACAGACACGCATGTCTTAATTAGTTTTTTTTTGTCAAACCCAAACTCAAATAAAATTATTGTTTTCAATCGTTATGAGTCTATCGATTGAATAGAATTTTATTATAAACAATTGTCTTGTAAATGGAATTTTTAAAGCATTCTGAATGTAAAAATAAAGAAAAAAGTGTGCAAGACAATAAAAAACACTACCTGCCAAAAAAAGTGAAGTTTTGTTGAAATCGGTTGAAAAATGTAGGAAATCCGATCCCATATATAAACGAACACACACACATACAAAGTACCTGGGTTTTATAATAAGTATAACTTAATATGAGTTGTCCCCCTTTCATTATGGCGACAGAATCGTGTTTTATCGTGTTTTCAAATTGATTTCGTGCAAAAACAATTGTGTTTTCCAATTTTTTGCGCTGTCAGAACAACCGCAAGGTAATTTTACACAGTCCTGTGAAGTTTTGTTGAAATCGGTTAAAAAATGTAGGAAATCCGATCCAATATATAACGTACAGACAAGCACACACACACACACAATCTGCGTTTTATAATAAGTAAGATATATATATATATATATATATATATAACGATATATAATTTTGCATACTTTTATATATCAACAAACGGTATTTAGAAAAATATGACAAAATGGAAAGGTTGTTTTGTTTTGTGACGAGTTTCATCCGTTAGAATTTCATCGGACTGAGTTTTGTTGACGTTGCCACGTCCGATGAAGTCGTAACGGATGAAACGCATCACAAAAAAAAAAAAAATCTTTCCTGTTCGCCATATATATAAGAGCAAGCACGTCATTGGTTTATGAATGCTTTTAAATTTGATAACGTTCATGAATATTCATTAGGTAGTTGAAAGGTGAGTCAAAACATGTTGATGTCACAAAGTGCCACAATTCAAAGTATGTTAAGACAAAAAGTAAGCGAGTAATATTCAAGAATTTTTTTAATAAGTGAATATTGTGTAAATTTTGATCGGATTCTTATTTTTGGATGGAAGTCTGTGCTGTATATCTTTGAGTAGAATTCTTAAAAAATATGAAGTGATGGATCTAACTTTTTCTTTGTTTTTTTTAACATTTTATGTTTTCTTAGGAAAATAGTAATTATTTTTAGGAAAGCAGAAATTGGAAAGAAACCAGAGCGCAGATTTATATTTTGATAAGATTCGATAGCGGCACTCTCGAGAATATTCCTTCTGAGTAAATTACTGTCTCTTTTGATAGGTGTAGCATGTTTTAGATCAAAAATCTGATTGAATTTATTTCTGGGTATGACTAGTGCATTTGATAAATTGTTGTGTGTAAGTTTCCTTTTGTGTTCAGAGATATGTTTATCATTTTTTTTAATTTCTGCATGTTTCCCCGATGTATTGTGAGGAACAATTTTGGCAATGAAAAAGAAAGAACGTTTATGTTCCCTCTTTGATATTTTGACGATGAAGTGTATTTCTGTACGAATTTCACTAACTTTACGGATCGTCTTCGTCTGACCTTGCACCAATCGGTAATGATCGTTAGTTGTTGCTGCAAAACGCTTTGATGATGAAACCCTTCTCTAATGAAAGGCCAAATTCAAGAATTTGTTAAAAACCATTCCATATCATGCAGAATTCTACTCAAAATGTATCAAGGAGCTGCATAATTAGTGGAAACAGGTCATTGCAAATAGTTTTGAATATATAAATGAATAAAATATAATTATACTTTATTTTTGAAGAATAAGTTAATAAACAAAATAAGAAAATGTAAATCATTCATCACTCAATCTAATACTATATTGACAAATAATGCATATGTTGTGGTAGGATCCACCTAATTTGCATAGTGGATTACCCACCATATAAATATGGTTGGTACCGGGAAGAGAGGAAGGAATCAAGAGATTCAACCAGAGACTCTGCCCGACTGCGACTCAGTCAACACATTCTCCAGGAACGGTCTTACCAGGAATATACAAAAGACTATATGTAAATATTGTGTACAATTTCTTGTTTCAATACATTTTGTTCTATGTACATTTTGTGTTGCATTATTTTTCCATGCATTAGTCAAGTTTCAACAGCATATGTTACCAGCAATATTTGTT